AGCTACAATAATAGTATCAGCACTATGAGTCAACTCATTCCCAATCAAGTTTCTTCAGATATCAATTTCATCAAGGCATTATTCATAGTTGATAAGAGATATCGACATAAAACTGAAGATATGGTATTTTCAAATTCATCTCAAAGTGCCATTAAAAATTAAATATGATGAATTTGATTTTAATAAGTAATAAAATTACCAACGTCACTTTCATCCTTGAATTCCCACTCAGAATTCTCAAATATGTCTCATAAATATTGCATTTTAGAATAAAAATTAATCGACTGACCTAATTTTTGCCAAAAGTGAGATAAAATGATCAAAATATAGTATTGATGACCAATGGTAGTGGGATTATATGGCAATAAAAGCTTTTTTATCCTAATTTTCTTTCAACATCTTGATCTGATTGTAGCTAGAGACTAGCCAGTCTATATTAGATAGAAAAAAGCTATCTTTTGGATAAGTTTTATTCATATCGATAAAGTTTATGTATATCCTTCATTTTTCATTGTGCTTTTTTACCATAACCACATTGGCAATTCATTCAGGTAGTAGACTTTTCTGATAAATGTAGCTCGTAATAATTTGTCAACCTCTTTCTCGATGGCCTATTGTCTTTTTAGGGTGAAATTTTTTTTTTGCCAAACTGGTTTAACCTTGAAATTAGTATATAATCTATGGACCATTACTTCGGTATCAATCTCGTGCATATCAGATGGTGTCTAAGCAAATATGTTAACATTATCTTTTATAACTTGAATCAATTAGTCTTTATGTTGGAGTTTAGCTCTCATCTACATGTGTTTTTGAAGGAATATTATTCCAAAAAAAAATTGTTAAGGGGTTCTCAGTCGGCTTGGATCAATTTTTGTTCAAGTTTGACTTAATCAATTATCTCTTTTTGTTCCATTAGATCAGGATCATTTTCTATAAAAATAGGTTTCGATGTAATGATCAGTATATTGAATAACTTGTTGAGCATATTAGCAAAAATGAAGAGTATTTTTCATTTAATATTATGTTTTAGCTGACGTGTTAACTCGATCCATGTAACATTAATCTTTTATGCTGACTTAAGAGCTCGGTTGCTTCTATTATTATTTTAAAAAATTCAAAAAATAGAACAAAGTTGAACTTTTGTGGAGCTTAAGAGCACAGAATGGCTTAAGAGCCCAAAACAGCTTAAGAGCTTAAAGTGGATTAAGAGTGTACTTTTATGAGTTTGGCCTTATGTTTTGTGCTTTTGTTGTCTTTTTTTGCTCTTTGTCAACTTCATGTATCAATTTCTCTTGTCTTTCACCTTTGTATTGATTGAGCCACTTGTCTACTTTTTAGTCTTACCTTTTATCATTGTAACATAACATTGTCATATTATGGATTGGTCTTTTTGAACTTCTTTAACTTTTATAAGTGTTGAAAATTTCACTTTCAAGTGAGGTGGTAACCTTATGAGCCACATGATAAATTGCTTAGATCAGTCTAATATCATATTGTAAGTAGAGAGGATATTTACCACCATGAATTTCATGATCGATGTGATAGTCTTCGACTTCATTCCTAAAAAAATTGAGAGTTTGATGGTTTTTCTTACTAGCACCTATTCTTTTTCAAACCCAACTAGTGTTATGGTGATCGACTTCAATTGATCTTCTTTGATCCCTATTTTTTTAAAACAACTATAGTACATAACGTCAGTCGAACTCCCATTGTCAAATATGATTCTTTTGACTACATAGTTGTATACCAAGGCTATGATCATTATAGTGTCATCATGTGGATGTTGGATCCTCTCTAAATCTTTCAAGCTGAATGAGATTGGCTTTTTTCTCCAGTGTTTTTCTTTCATAGCCATGTTGTTTATCGCCATTACAAAACCCGAGTTGAACATTTTTTTGTCGAGGTGAAGATGCTTTCTGTAATCATGTTAATTACCTCAGTAATTGGCTTACTATTATTAGTTCAACCCTCTTTTTGAATCAACTCTTCTTTTTGAGCATCCCTTCTTTTCTAATCTGATATTCTCTCTTTACCCCTTGTAAGCGCTCTATGGTCATTTTTGTAGTCCCTTCTAAATTGGTTTTATCTTTTTTAAACTTTTTCAACTAACCTCGCCTAAACAAAACTTTAATATCATTTTTTAAGTCGACATAGTCTTCTATATTATGGTCGATGTATTGGTGAAAGGCGTATTTTTTGGTCAAATCCCATCTTATATTTTATTTCAGTGGCTTAAGCCTTTTAAGATTGAGATTTTTTTCAATTTGTATTAAAATCCTCTCAGAAGAAGTATTCAATGCAATGTAGCTTTTATCTTTACTGGGGCTTCTAGTATTTTGTTATCTCTCTCTTAAGGAAAAATCATAAAATTTTTTACTTTTTTTATGATCGAAGAAGGAAGATAAGCCTCTTTCACCTTGACTACTGATGAAGGGGGATGAGCCTCTTTAATCTTGATTTATTGTCATTGTAGCTTCAGCTTTGATATATTTCTCTGTTATTAATAGGACATCAACTAGAGTTTTTGGTGATTCTAGTGACAATGTCAATTTCAAGTGGTATTCTTTATCATTGAGTTCAGTGGTCAATATGACAACAAGAACCGTCTATTCTAGGTCTTTGACATGTAGGGCTTCTGTGTTAAAATAAGTAACATAACTTTTTAAAGTTTCATTTCGCCTTGATGAATTTGCATCAAGTTTAAGGTTTTTTTTAGCTCTTTGGCTACTCATTAATTGAGACAAAAATGAGTGGCTGAGCTTCTTGAAAGGAGTGATTAACCTCGGCTCCAAACTACTATATCAAGATTGAGCTACGTCTTTCAAAATAGTGGGCAAACCCTTGCACATTAGAGCTCTATTTATCCCTTGTATCATCATGTTAGTTCTATAAAGTTTTAAATGATCAAAAGAGTCAGAAATACCATAATATATCTTTAAGGTCTACATTTTTGAATCCTTTGAGAGTCATGACTTTGTTGATCTTTTTAGTAAAAGGTGCGGTTTCCAAACATCTAAGCTCGTCTTCAAATGCTGCTGACTTTATTTTTAACTTTTTCTTTATAGCCCACATTAGAGCTTATAAATCTTTGTTTGATTAAGGTTTATAGTCGTTTGTTTGGATTTTTGAGTTATGGTATGTGTAGAATTGTAGCTAGGATAGTAAGGGGTTAGATTGGTTTGCTTTTCTTCTCTAGAGGCTGAAGAGGCTTTCGCCTCTTTGTAGCTCAGTTGCTTGACAACAGTTTATCGACTTGGTGTGACTAAGTCTAAAACTTTAGAGACTTGTGGTGAGGTTATAGTTTGGAGCATCTATTTGAGGGTTTATATTTGCTCAGTTAGGGCTGGAAATTGCTCTATGGTTGGCTTAGCTTGTGGTTGAATTGGGCAGACAGAATGTTGACTCTAGTGAGTTTTTATTCCAATCGGAGTGTTTGTCTTTCCTTTTTCTTGAGTTTTTTTTTTCTGGGTGGCATTATTTTGTGCTCAACTATTATGAAGATGCTAGATCCCCTATTTGGCGCACCAAATATTTGTGTCAAGCTCCGACCTGAGGGCAATCTTGTAAACATAAAAGAGAGAAACGGTTAAAGGTAAAGATAATGAGTGTTTCCTACATTTGCACTATAATGCGTAAGTCAATAAGGGTCAAGTTGGAAAGGAGATGAGAAAGCAAAAATGAGAGAAAGGTATAAGTTTTTTGAAACTGACTTCATGGTGCCTAAATCTCTATTTTTATAGACAATGTAAGGGAGACAAAAATGGGACAATTAAGACAAGGTTGAGTTGAGGTAACATTAGAGATGTCAGACTGACTTGACATATCAGGTGTCATAAATGATCAAGATATTCTTATTTATCTGCTAGAAACTAAAAAAGAAAAAAAAATTATTATGCCGTTTTGACCATTATATGCCCCTCACAGAATTACGTAATACATATATTGACAAATGTCATTTTAAGGACATTTAAGGCATTATCTTATTAGATGGGAGCTATATAAATGTTTTTAGGGTTTATTAGGTAAGGTGAAATTAGTGAATGAAAAGTGTATAAGATATTAAAGGAAATAGGAAATTGTGGGACCAATGAAAAGAGATGAGAAAAAAAGGATAAGATATATAGTAATTCAAAAATCTTACTAATGCGATAATGGAATGAAGTTGCAAATGAAAGAAAAAAAATTAAAAATTAAAAAAAAAATAAAAGAGAAACTACAAATGAAAGGAAAAAATAAAAAATTTAAAAAAATTGAAAGGAAACTGAAGAAAGATTTGACATGATTTTATTAATTGTTAAATTATTATCTATAATCTATTTATAACTTTATACAAGCTAACTATATATTAAATTATTATAATACCACTATTTATTTATTTGCTATTTGCTCTATTTATCATCAATCATTATAGAAAATGAATTACATAATAAATATATTGTTGACAAATGTCATTTTAAGGACATTAAAGGCATAATCTTTGTTAATCGAAAGCTATATAAATATTTTAGAGTTTATTAAATAAGATGAAATTAGTGAATGAAAAGTATATAAGATATTAAAAGAAATAAGGAATTGGGACCAATGAAAAGAGATGAGAGAAAAAAAATAAGATAGAAAGGAGCTCAAAATTCCTTACTAATACGATAATTGAATGAAGTTGCAAATGAAAGAAAAAAATTAAAAATGAAAAAAAAAAAGGAGAAGCTATAAATGAAAATAAAAAGTTAAAAAAATTAATAGAAAGGAAAATGAAGAAAGATTTGACATGATTTTATTAGTTGTTAGTTAAAGGTTTCACATCCAATAGTTAGGATGGAGTATTTTTTTTTCATATATTATTTATTTTTTACATATTTACCGTAAAACAAATAAATCCAAAATATCTTTTTTATAAATTTTTGTTCTCTTTCTCAAAAATTTTTTTGGATGAATTTAGATTACTCGAATAGATGAATATTATAACAAAATTGTGATACGAAAAATTATGTAATTACTTTTATTTTATAATTATCATAAAATTATATATATTCCAACAACAACCGTTGGATTTTTTCCTAGTTATATTATACAAATTAAATCTTGTTAACCGCCGTTCTAACTCCTCTTTCTTTTACCTTTTACTGGATCGTCTTTCTGAAACGGAACCTTCAAAACTGAGATTAAAGCCTCCTAAGAAGAAAACCCTAGCGCTGCCATTGCCTTACCGACGTTCGACCACGGGGAACACGTTCACAGCCAAAGACAAAACTTCCTCCTCTATCTTAAATCCCAAATGAGAAGAACCTGAAATGAAATCCCTAAACCCAAGACCTCTTAGATCCTAATCTCAGCCCAATAGCACGGGGACCCGAAGACCTCCTATTTATTTGCCCTCTATCTTCCGTTTCTGCCGTTGTAGAGGTAATTTCACCCTTGGTATCCTTTCTAATTTGATATCTTAGAACAAAAATCGCTGCGAATTTCTGTAACACTCTATCAGTCTCGTTAGAGGGCAAATTAATAAATAAATAAATCTCCATTTGAATGGATTCTCCTGAGCGTAGCAGTCGTAGACACGTGAGACGTGATAGAGAGGATAGTTCAGACTTGAAAAGTGATAGGGCTGCTGGGGATGATGAAGAGTGGGATGCAACTGATAGTAAGAAGAAGCACAAGTCTAGCAAGTCTAGAAAGCCTAGCAATGTTGAAGAAGGTGAGGGTCTCGACAGTGGCAGTGGAAGTGGAAGGAGGAGGAGTTCTGGGGATAGAAGTGAGAGCCGGAAAAGGTCATATACTTCTGCCAGAGCTGATAGCGATGAAGATGATTATGACACCCGAAAACCGTCCCGTTCCAAGCAGATCAAGAGAAAACAAGAGGAAAGTTCCTCGGAAAAATTGAGTAGTTGGTACCAGGAGGGAGAACTTGAAAGCAGACAAGATGGTGCTGAGAAGTTAGCCAGTAAAGGACATGCTTGGGCTGATGAGCCTGACAGAAAGAAGGTGGTCTCAAAGCTAAGTAAAAGCAAAGAAGAAAGGTCCCATGACAGAGAACTTGAAAGGTCACCGGATAGAGATTCCAGGTATTCTGAAAGGAGGGAAAGCAGCCACGATAAGGGCCATGGCTCTTCCGAATTATCAAGGAACTCTAGAAGAAGATGGGATGAACCAGATGCTTCCAGGAAAGCTGAAGAAAATAGTTATGATAGAACTGATCTGACAAGTGGGAAATCTTATGATCTCAAGTATGACACTGCTAGAGAGAAAAGTGCTTCTGCAAGAAATCAACCTAGCGAGAGTAAAATCACTGCAGCAGATTCAAACAATGAGAAGGGTGCCAAATCCAGCAGTAGGGAAGAGAGAAGAATTGATGTTGAGAAGAGCAAGAGCAAAGGTCGATCAGATGCCCTAGAAGAAGACAGTAGGGCTAGTTCATTGACTCGTGAAGACAGATCAAGTAGGGAGAAAATTGACAAGCTCAGACAACAGAGAACTCCCCCTGGTCGATATGTCGCTGAAAACCGAGAAAGGACTTCCAATATGGATGATGATGGAATGACATGGATGAGGGATAAAAATTCAAGACAAGCGGGGCAAACAAACAGGTCTAGGAGCCCTGACAGAGGTAGTAGGCGTTATCAAGAATCAGAGCTCTCTGAGTTGGATCCTGAAAGAAGCCAGGAACACAAAACAAAAGAACTAGAAAGGGATGACAGATCCAAAAGCAGGGATGATAACTGGAGTGGCAGGACAAGGGATCGAGAAGGTTCAAAAGAAAGCTGGAAAAGGAGGCAATTGAGTAATAATGATAAAGAGGCCAAAGATGGGGACATTACATATGATTGTGGTAGAGAATGGGATTTGCCAAGGCATGGCCGTGAGAGGATTGAAAATGAAAGGCCTCACGGTCGGCCAGGCAATAGAAAAGATGGAAATCGAGGTGAAGCTGTGAAGACGTCATCAAATTTTGGAATCTCAAATGATAACTATGATGTGATAGAGATCCAAACCAAGCCTCTTGATTATGGAAGAGCAGAGTCTGGATCCAACCTTCCCCGGAGAACTGAAATTGGTCAGCAGTCTTACATGAAGTCAGCTCCAAACGAGGAAGGGTGGGCATATATGCAAGACAATAGGGGAAGGAGGAGTGATGCATATGTTTCTGGACCCTTGGATGAAGATTCAATGGACAAACATACAGAGGAAAGTAACTCAATGCGAGATCCAAATTTATGGAATGATGAACTTGATTACAGCGGAGGGAAAGGGAGAGGCCAGAAACATACTGTATCTGACCGTGGCTTTGGCGGCCAAAGTTCTAGTGCTGGATCTCAATTACCTTACGGAAACCAGGATGTTTTGGGCCAAGCTCCTCCTCAAGGTGTGAAAGAGAGTAGAATAGGTAGAGGAGGAAGGGGAAGACCTACAGGGAGGGACAATCAACAGGTTGGTCTGCCAATGCCTATGATGGGATCACCTTTTGCTCATCTCGGAATGCCACCACCTGGACCTATGCAACCAATTAACCCTAGTATGTCACCTGCTCCTGGCCCTCCAATTTCTCCAGGTGTCTTCATTCCACCGTTTTCCCCACCTGTGGTTTGGTCTGGGCTTCGAGCAGTTGATATGAATATGCTAGGTGTTCCACCTGGTCTCTCTCCTGTTCCTCCTGGACCTTCTGGCCCAGGGTTTCCTCCTAATATAGGTCCTCCAAACCCTGGTATGTACTTTAATCAGTCAGGACTTGGAAGAGGACCTTCAAATGTGTTGTTGTCTGGCTTTAATGGGGCAGGGCCAATGGGACTAGGAACACCACCAGAAAGACCATCTGGGGGTTGGGTTCCTCCTAGAACTGGTGCTTCTTCTGGTAAAGCTCCTTCTAGAGGAGAGCAGAATGATTATTCTCAAAATTTTGTTGACACTGGTATGCGACCACAGAATTTCATCAGGGAGCTGGAGCTTACCAATGTTGTGGAGGACTATCCAAAGCTAAGGGAGCTTATACAGAAAAAGGATGAGATTGTAGCTAAATCTGCTTCTCCTCCCATGTATATGAAGTGTGGCCTGCGTGAATTTGAGCTGTCTCCAAATTTCTTTGGAACCAAGTTTGATGTTATTCTTATAGACCCGCCTTTGGAGGAATATGTTCACCGGGCTCCTGGAGTTGCTGACCATATTGAATACTGGACATTTGAAGAGATCATGAATCTTAAGATTGAGGTAATCAATTTCTACGTCGCTTTCTTTTTTGTTGACTTTTACCAGAAAAGATAGCATACTGTTAGATTTGCCTTGCAGGTGGCGTTTTAATTGAAAAAAATGGTCTCTGTTTGAATTTGTGGGTGTCATGTGCTAACATCTGGAGTGTTGCTGTTCCTTATATATTAGCATCCATGGAAGCTCTTTTTACCTAGTCAATGGATATCAGAACTATTATTTTCTATTCATATTCTTTTTTACCTCGTAGCCTTTTACTGACTTGAAATGTACCTGTTGCTTTTACCTCATGTATACAGGCAATAGCTGACACACCGTCGTTTATATTCCTTTGGGTGGGTGATGGTGTGGGCCTTGAGCAAGGCCGTCAATGCTTAAAGAAGGTACATGATTAAAATTTAGTTAGAATATGACTTGGCTTTCCTTTTCCTTTGGCACTAATAAAATTTATAGTTTTAATAGCATTTATTCATTCTATATTTTGTTTGCCTTTTCTATGTGTTGCAGTGGGGTTTCCGGAGGTGTGAAGATATATGTTGGGTGAAGACCAACAAAACGAATGCAACTCCAGGCTTACAACATGATTCTCATACTATATTACAGCACTCAAAGGTTTGTAATATTGTTTTTTCTACATTTTAAACCTTTTCTACTCTGTTACCTATGGAACTACCTTGGGCATTCTGCAAATCCATGCACTGTTTCCGAAACTGTTCTCACCTTGTCATTTCACTGAAGGAACACTGCCTGATGGGTATAAAAGGAACAGTTCGTCGTAGTACAGATGGTCATATAATTCATGCCAACATTGACACTGATTTAATTATCGCTGAGGAACCTTCCTATGGTTAGTACTATTGTATTTTTTTGACTTTAATGACCTTGGGTTTGCATCAGACCATATGGTATCTGCATGCTATTTCTTTCTTTATCAAAATTTCGGAAATGAACCTGAATGATGGTATTGCAATTAATTCCAATCCTATCTCTCTCTCTACTGCTTTCATTTTACTCCTTGTCTTGCAGTTTTGCATATAAGTTAACAATAAGTTTGATGCATCAGTTTGAGATTTATGTTTTCTGCTTCTTTTCTATTTCTTTTTGCTCCTTTCTATGTAGAAATTCAATGTGCAGCAACAAAAATAACCCTGGCACTCAAATCATAGGCTGGGGAAGGATTGGGTATCAGTGTACTTGGGCATTTACCTAGCCATTAGTGTATTAGTGTATTGGGGCATTTATCTCACCATATTGCTTTAACTAGAAACACTTTTTAACACTTAAGCTTTGCTTGGTAAGAAGTGGTGAGGATTGAAAACTTCTTAATCTAATGGTTAAGTTACAAAGTAGGAAAGTAGTTATGAATTTTAACCATTGGATTAGCAAGTTTTTGATCCTCACCACTTTCCATCCTTCTTACCAAGCAGAGTTTTAATGTCTTATTGTGTGCTCTCTTCTATGATTTTACAATGTTGATTGTGTGAAAGAGAAATTGTTTGAAAATTTCATGCCAACTGTTGTGTAGGTTCAACTCAAAAGCCCGAAGATATGTATCGAATTATTGAGCATTTTGCTCTTGGCCGCAGAAGGCTTGAGCTATTCGGTGAAGACCACAACATTCGAACTGGTTGGCTGACTGTTGGTAAAGGACTGTCCTCATCAAATTTTAATAGAGAGGTATGCTATCCTTTGGAAACAGAATATACATTGATTGTTGAATTATTTTCCCCTTGGCTGATGCAATTAACAGAAATTGGCTGATCATTTCAAATATTGACTTGCTATATAAGAAATGAAGTATTGCTGACTGTAAAAAAAGTAAGAGGTTCATCGCATTGTATACCGAGGAAAGTTATGCTTTCTTGGGCATTTAAATGCTGTGAAAGTCAAACAGCTTTACAAACTCTTTTGAATAAAGATCCTGCTGTTGGCCATTTTTTATAATGTGCTTCCAATGATACTTGGTTCTCTCATTCAATCTAAGATTTGATTCTGTTCAACTGCGGTTTGCTTCTGCTGTGGGTTGGCTGGCTTTCTATAAAACCATGTGGAACATAAAATTACAAGCGAGGTCATGTTTTCTGATTTCCCTTTTACTGGTTTTATTAAATGACTTAAACTAGGAATTCTGGCTCTTTACAGGCATATATTAGAAACTTTGCGGACAAGGATGGAAAAGTGTGGCAAGGTGGGGGAGGACGAAATCCACCCCCAGATGCACCTCATCTAATCAAGACAACCCCAGAAATAGAGGCCCTGCGTCCCAAGTCGCCCATCAAGAACTAGCAGCAGCAGTCTACCTCTATTTCTCTGACATCCAATTCCTCCAACAGAAGGCCTGCTGGAAATTCACCGCTGAACCCAACTGTCCTCGGTTTGAATCAAGAAGCTTCTAGCTCTAACCCATCAACTCCTGCTGCTTGGGCTTCGCCAATGGAGGCTTTTAGAGGACGAGAAGGCATGAACATGTCCTAAGATGATAGCATGTTTGATATGTATCGGTATGGTGGCCAGGCAAATGCGGATTACCTGGATTTTGAGTCCATTAGAGCAATGAATTTAATGTGACAAATTCCTGTAAAAAATAATACACTGTAGTGTTTAGATTTTTCACCATAAATAACCTGCAAATGGATAGTGAAGTGCATTATTCTGCTATTAAACGATGATGATATTATTCTCACGGGGAATAATAACCAAATCTTGACTGATTTTATTCATTAGTTAAAGCCTGGAATTTTCTTTTAAAAATATGAGGGATTTGCATTTTCCTTCTGGACGTTGAAGTGTACAAAAATTCTAGTGGATTGTATCTTTGTGAAATCAGATATGGTATAACTATTTTGGATCGTGCTCAGATGGTCGATTGTAAGGCAGTTGGAACACCAGTGACCTCTTAAGTAAAAGGGATAATGTCTTTATATGACCCCAAACTATTATAGTTTATTGAATTTGACGCTTAAACTAAAAAGAATTTTCAAGTAGGTATTTAAACTCTTGATCCATGTACCAGTATAGTTTAGGATTTAATTCCGTAGCTTACTTGGCTACTTTAGCCAATAAAAAGTGACATTTGGTTATTTAAGACATGTTATCTTCAGTGATTGTTTACATGTCATACTTTTGTGACAAAGCATAATAGCCTGTCGGACCGCCGCTTGCCATTGTCGACCGTTGCTTTTAGGCGTCGGTTGATTTCAACCGAACTGAGCTCTCCTCCTCCTCTTTTTTATTTTTCAACTTTGTTTTCTCCCAAAACGTTTTAAAGTTTCGAGATCTAAAGTTGAAGCCTGAAACTTCAAACCTCAAAATCTCCTTCTTCCACCGTCCGATCCTCCTGTACTTTATGTTGTTCTCATCTCTTCAACTTTCATCTTCACTGGTTGGATCTCCAAAAACCCGCACCACTTGAGCCTTCCTTAGCTGCTGCTCCTCTGCCACAATTGATAACGGCCGCCAAAATGGCCTCTTTTTTTGTCTTTCCTTAGTCCTCCCTTCATCCAAAAAATTAAGATCTAAAACTTACTCAAAATTTTTCCATATCGAAACTCTCTTTTTGTGTGTTTACTCGAGTAAAAGTGAATGTTTTTTATTGGTATGGTACCTTAATGGTGTCGGCTAGTTGGTATTGAATGAAACAGTGGCTTAAGGTTTGGTGATAGGCTGTGATGATGTTAATTGGTTAGTGATTTCGATGAGTTGATGAGTTGATGATAATGGTGGTGGGATGAGGTTGATGATGGTAATTTCTTAGCTTAGTGGTTCGGGTATAGACAGATTGAAATTTTAGCAGAGTTTATTTGCTTGTAAGAATAACCCTCACATTTGGTTTGGGTAATTTACAAGTAGAAATTCTAAAAAAAGTTCAAGAAAAATTACCTCCATGTAAAAATCCAATTTCGGGTTTAGTTGGGTATTGATTTGGGGTTTTCGATGTAAGAGAGAATTAAATTTTTTTGCTTTTTTTTTCTTTAAATATATATGATTACGTAAACATGACATGTAAGCATAACATGTCATTTTGTGTTTAAATGATAGATTTTTATCGGTTAAAATAATCAAGGCAGCAATTTTAACTAATAAAATTAACTTTTAGGCCAAATAGATATATAATTTCAGAGTTTAGGTACCAAATCTAATAAATTACAATAATTCAAGGCCATATAGAACATTATCCCAAAGTAAAAGCACCCGCAAATGATCCACCTTTTCATGCGGAGCATTTGAATACCTAGACTTTCACAAGACCGGACATTACCTTCACTGTCAGTTTATGTATGAATCAACCAAGTATTTTTCATTCTCAGCTCGTGAATAAAGAGGTTGCTTCGTTACAATATTAGAGTTACACTGAGTTATGGTGTACACATTTCTTCCTGTTATTCATACACTAATTAAGCGGCCTTGCCACTTCATACTTTATATAGTAACACAAATAATAAATTAAAAAAGAAAAAGAAAAAGAAAAAATTTAAGCACAAACTGTAGGTAAAAAGTATAGCATTCAAAGAGCATAAATAGTGGGGGATCCCCTGGCATGGACTTCTGCTTCTTCCTCCTTTATTTCTTCCCTTTCACCCCACTCTATTTTGTTTTCGTTCTCAGTAGATCCAACGGCCCAAGTGCAGACCAAGAAATACAAGACATTAATCAAGCTTAGAATTGTAAGAAGCCAATAATAATAGTCATAATGACCCTTATTAAGGTTGTTTGATACCCAACTCACCTTCCCAAGTTTTTTAGTCTCAATATTCAAAATTTCAACTATAAGACTCCCAACCAAGTTTCCCACAGCCATGCCAAGGGTAAAAAGTGCCACTCCGATGCTAGCCATGCTCTTAGGGAACTGAGAGTAGTAGAACTCTCTTTGCCCAATTGCATTGAGAACTTCGGCTAATCCTATCAGGCTGTATTGTGGTACTAACCACATTGCAGACACGTGCACCATTGCATTGGGATTATCAGCCAGTCCTTGTCTGATTGCTGCTGCTCGCCGCTTGCTCTCCACTATTGCTGCATCTGCTGTTGCCACACACGAAATTCCTAACCCCGTGCCCATTCTTTCTTTCATGGTAAGTCCTCGTGACCGTTTAGTGAACTTAGATAGCAAGGGGACTATAATTCTATCATAGATTGCTACCCATATTGTCAAAGTAATCATTGCAAACACACCAAAGGAACCTGCTGGAATTTGTAAGCCTGCAAATAAGTGCCTGTCCATGACGCTCGCTTGGAGCACTGGAAATGACTGTTGGCTTATGGTTGCGGTAATCATGATCCCAGTAGACCAAATGGGAAGCACTTTGATCAATGCTTTCAACTCTTCAACTTGTTTTACCGTGCAGAGATTCCATGGATCTCTAGCCCAACCATCCAAGTCTATGCCCTTCTCTGGGTCTCTAATCACGCAAACTTTGTTAAGAAACCTGACAAAAAACTTGACAAAATCAGCTCTCTCCAACATAATTTGTTGTTGTAGAGTACAAGTAGTATTTAAACAAATTCAGAATATTATATATGCAAATACAAGTAAAGCGTTCAGCAGATGCTCCACATATATATATAATTTGTATAAAAGTAGAAATATTACTCCACCTTGTTGAAAGAATAGATGTGCGAATTGCTTCTTTCAATGGAAGGAATGAGATTATGTGACAAAGAAGTTCGTCAGGTAAACTATGATCCTGTCTACTTCTTCGCTAGCTCTAACTCGTTTAGCCATTAGTAAAAATCTGCATTCAAAGCCAATAGCCATGTGAACTTGATAAAATACTGAACTTTTAATTTCAGTGACTAAAATTCAAATTCTAATAGTCTCAATTATAAAACAAAATCCATATTCAAAGGCTTGGTAAAACATTGTTTTCTTTATTTTAGATGAAAGTTAGTGTCTATATACGGTTTTCTATTAGTAAAGAGTGATAAAGAAGAAAATGATGAAAACTTTTATTTTAATGGCTTGTGTTTTACAATGATACTCAAAGTCTATTTATACAGATATAAAATGTCACAAAATAGTAAATACAATAAATAGAAATAATGACTAAATCAATTCCTATAATTTGTTAAATCAATATCTAATATTCGCTAAATCAATATCAAATCAACTAAATCGATATCAAATCAATCTAAAATATTATTGAAATATTACTAGAATAATATCATTGAAATCAACATAGAAAATTGCCAGAATATTATTAGAATATCATTGACACTTCCCACAAACTCAAGATGGTAATAAAGAGATCAACTTGAGTTTGAAAACTTAGACAAGAAATTGACCAAGTGAATGTGATTTGGTGAAAATATCTGCTTTTTGACCAACACTGGTAATAGAAACAAGTCAAAGAGTTTAAGTGAATGGATGATGATGTATGAAGTGGCAGTTAATTTTAATATCTTTAGTACGCTTATGAAAAACATCATTGTGAGCTATTTGAATGGCACTTTAATTATCACAAAATATAATACTAAAGTTATGAGGAACACCCATTTCTTAAAGTAACCATCATAACCATAGAAGTTTTGATGTGGCATCTATAAGAGCTCGATACTCAACTTCAATACTAGAGTAGGATACTGCAGTTTGTTTTTCACTTCACCAAGAAATAAGAGAAAAACCAAGAAAGAAACAGTAGCCTATGATAGAATGACGATAAGTAGAATTTCTTGCCTAATCAACATCACATTAACAATGCAAATCCAAAGAGAAACTAGAGGAAAAATGCAAACCATAGAGCATGGTACCTTGACATATTGTGGGATCTGACAGACAACAGTAAAATGAGTAGATTGAGGAGTAGACAGAAATTAACAAATCAAATGAAGAACAGAGGCAATGTCTGAAAGAGTAACTATCAAATATACAATACTACCCACCAGAGTTCGATACAAAAAAAGGTTTGGAAGTGGTGTACCATTAAAAAGAGAAAGCTTTAAATTTTATTCAAGTGGTGATGATGTAATCTTACTATCAATTAGACTTGCTTGAGTAATAAAATCATAAGCATATTTTATTTGAGACAAATGTAAGCCAATAGAATCACTAGTGACTTCAAAGATAAAAAAATAACTCAAAAGACCAAATTCTTTTATTTCAAACTTATAACAAAGAAAAGTCTTCAGATCCTGAATACCATTTGCATCATTACTCGTAATGATCATGTCATCCTCATAAAGTAAGAAAAGATTAATACCATTTTTAGTAGTTTAAGTAAAAAAAACAAAATCATGATTGTTAGATGCAAAATCAAATTATGCAACAGTGGTACTAAACTTCGAGAACCAAGTTTTAAAGGCTTGCTTAGGATCATATAAAACGCATCGAAAATGGTAGACCATGTTAAAATGTATAGATGAACCAGGAAGTGGCTTCATATAGACTTTCTTGACAAGATCACCATTCAAGAAGACATTTTTAACATCAATTTGATAAGTTGGCCACTTTCTAGCTACAACAACAATTAATAAAGAACGAACAAGTGTGAAATGTGCAACTGGAGCAAAAATCTCTTCATAGCCAAGTCATATTCTTTTTTAAATCCTTGAGTAATAACTTAAGCTTTGTAATGTTCCACTAACCTATCAGATCGAGTCTTAATCTTGTTGACCCACTTACAATCAATCATTGACTTATTATAAGGTCATTCAATAATATCCTAAGTATGAGTTTTCTCGAAAGTCTGAAGCTCTTCTACCATTGCTTATTGCAACATAGGATTAGAGATGGCTTTATGAAAATTGTAAAATTCATGTAACGTGGCTAAAACATAATAATAATGAAAATCATGAAGTTGAGTATTGGGTTTTTTTACCCTAGTGAAACAATAAAGTGGAGATGGTATGTATAGTGAAAGGACAATTGTATCAACACAAGCCTCAATCAAATTAGATATAGTCAAAGTAAAGAAGATAGATCACTATTTGAGTTAGAAGTACCTATAATAGTCTTTTCATTTGAAAAAAAAAATCAAAAGATAAATTTGTAAAAATACATGAAAAAGAACAAGGTGAATATAATGAAGACATACTAGTAAACTTTTTATGTTCTTGAAAAACTACATGTCTTGAGATACGAAGACATTTAGACATCAGATCATAACATCTAAACCCTTTATGTTCTATACCATAACTTAAAAGAATAACACAATTTAGCTCTAGGGTCAAGTTTAGTCCTTTTATATGTAGGAAGTAGAACAAAGCAAACACATCAAAAACTTTAAGAGAATGATAATCAGGTACCTTATTACATAGGCGCTCATAGTGAGACTGTGTGCCTAATATTAGTGTGAGAACACGATTAGTAGTATAAACAGTAGTGAAAGCAACTTCACCCTAAAAATGTTTAAGAAATGAAGAGAAATTATAAGGGCACGAAATGTGTCAAGTATATGACAATGTTTTGTTTCAGCTCAACCATTTTGTTGTGAAGTATATGGGTAAGGCTTATAAGGAAGAGTCTCATAATCTTTTAACAAGTTAGGAAACTTAATTTTTGTATATTCAACAACATTGTCAGACTTGAAGATTTTTATTTTTCTAAAAAAATGAGTTTGTATCATATTATTGAATTCAAGAAAAATTGATAAAAGTTCAATTTTTTGTTTGAGTAAATATATCCAAGTATAACGAAAGAAATCATCAACAAATATAACAAAGTAACATGAACCTCTTAAGGTTGGTATGGGAGTTGAACCTAAAATATCATAGTAGATTAAATAAAAATGAGCATATAAGATATAATTGATTGTATTAAATGGTAAACCACTTTGCTTTCCAAGTTGACAAGATAAACAATAAAAAATATTATGAAAAATATTACCTAAGATATCAGTGGAAGTAAGTGACTTTATTTGAGAAATAGATGCATTGCCTAGTTTAGAATGTTATAAATCTAAAGAAACTGAAGAGTTGATTGTTTCAAATATAGCAACAGTAATCAAATGCTGTGGAATTTTCAAAGTTTCAAGCTAAAACAATGTTCCAATTTTACGCCTTGTCCTAACTTTTTGACATGTTTAAGGATCCTATACAATGCATCCATATCATTGTGAAAAATGCAAATCAAGACCAGGGTCACAAAGTTAGCTAACAGAAAGCAAATTTAAGGCAAGATTAGGAACATAGTAAGTTTAAGATATACATAATTTTGAGGTTTCAATATTATCAATGTGGCTAGTTTTTAAGATATATCCATTTGCTATTTTAATGATTGGACCATTAGGTACATGTATCTTACTTTTGAACAAAGAAAGATCAACGGTCTTGATTTTCACAAGCACTATCAAACAATAAAATATTACTTGATGTGGCAGCAGACATGGTAGGAACATGAGATCGAGATAATATTTGATTGAATAACGTTTGAAAATTAGTGGTGGAGATTGCAATATTGCAAAAGAAGACTCATAAGTATTTGATTTAGTGGTTGTTGTCAAAGTAGTCTTGTTAGTGCACGGATGATGAATTTGATTATCGTTATGATGATATTTAGCTCTATATTTTTTAATAAGATGATTAGTCATCCCATATCACAAACAAGTCTCATGAAAAATAAAGCTAGTATTTTTTTGAAGAGCAATAGCAATAATAGTATCAGCATTATGAGTCTAACTCATTCCCAATCGAGTTTCCTTATATATCAATTTCATAAAGGCATTATTCATAGTTGGGTAAAGATATCGGCATAAAAATGAAGATATGATATTTTCAAATTCAACTTAAAGTGCCATTAGAAGTTGAATATGACAAATTTGATATTACTAACATCACTTTCATCCTTGAATTCTCACTTAAATTCTTAAGCATGTCCCATAAAATGTTACATTTTAAAATGAAAATCATTAATTGATTGACCTAGTTTTTAACAAAAATGAGATAAAGTGGTCAAAATATAATATTGATGAGTAAGGGTAGTAGAATTATACTATGTGACAAAAAAATTTCAAGCATCTTTAGCAAGTTTAAATCGCCCTAAATGTACATTGATAGAAGAAACAATGGCATTCATGAACCATATAAGAATTTTATGATTCTTACTTTCCCATTCCTTTAGTTAATCTGTAAATTCATCATTAGATTTTTCTTCTTTCCTTTTTGGTGTCTTACATTATTTGATAACAATAAGCCATAATTTCATCTCCTTTATATAAGTATGCATTGTCGTAATCCATTGATTAGTTATTTTCATTAAGGATAATTGAAATTGGTTATACATTTTCTCATTGAATACTTGCCATTAAGCTTTTGATTGAAAAAAAATGAAATGGAGACATAGGAAGTTATAAGTATTGATATAAAATATGAATATTGAAGATGGGAAAAGAAACAAAAAATTTGAAGCACGAAAGTAAAAAATGAAGTTAGAAACGAAAATCAACCAAGAATGGTGCTAGAACAATTTCATGGTTCATTTAAAAAATGATTGAAATCAATCTAGTAATATTATAGATTATCATTGACAAG